TGTCCTTCCTATTCCAATATTCTCCAAGGGCATCCCACAATATGTAAACTTTGTTAGGGACTCTCACCCAGGATCTTGGAGGAACTTGGGAACTGAAATTGAGACGATAGAGGTAGCTAGGAACGGACAGTGGGGATAGCAATGTTCATGCCTGTTTCATTTTCTGTTGATAAGTAGGCAGTGTTTCAATTTAGCTGTGGAGAAACATAAATAAATCTTAAATTAAATTTGATTTGATTCTAACCATTATCTTTCCAATCTATGAATCACAATTTATGGGGGGAATATTTTTCATATGCAGTTTTAATTTACTAAGTGTGCAAATTTAGTTGATGACAGTATAGGGAGGAAACGATATGCAGAACACATATTATATGCGTTGTGTACTAAAAATGTGCACTCTTTGTTTTCTACTGAAATCAAGGGCACAGAGTAATGCACAAAGCATCTATAAGCTTCACGGCCCTTAAATTGTGCCGAACAATCTCCGTTCCAAATGCCACAACATCTTAACAGGCATGTGCTTGGCAAATGACAAAGTAATCAAAGCTGTACAACTTAAGGAGAAACTTTCTGACAGTGAGAACAACCAACCAATGGAACAGCTTGCCCTCGGAAGTTGTGGGAGTGCCATCACTTGAGACTTTCAAGAAGAGATTGGACTGCCATTTGTCAGAAATGGTGAAGGGTCTCCTGCTTGGGCGGCGGGGGTTTTTTGGACTAGACGACCTACAAGGTCCCTTCAAACTCTGATTATTTGTTATCTGTTACTTTCAGAACTGAATGTCTAAGTCAGTAGATCAAGGAGCTTACTTTTAAATCAGTCCTGTTTTTTCCCCCAGTAAAGACATGCTGCATTTAATTTAGCTCTTAACATAATGTGTATTAATGTAATGCTATCTGGATCCTTCTATAGCTAAATCAGCACCACTGATGCACAAGAGAGGGATTTAGCAAACTGGGAGTAATCCTGAGATTTGCAAAGTGTGTCCATGTCTCTCTCTCTCTCTCTGTTTCTGTGTGTGTATAAAGAGGATGATTAAAACTTAAGAAGCCTAACTATTTCCCCTTCCCCCTGCCCAAGTGCATCTAACCCAATACATTTAGAACACGTAGGCTATGAAGAAAGTGGAAAGCTGGATCTGAAATTGACTGAAGCAGTTTGGAGAAAGACGTAGCTAGTCTGAAACACTCCATACAGCAACACTCAAGTTTCAGTTCACAATTGTACAATATCTATTTACATTTTTTTTAAAAAAAATATTATTTATTATTATGAGAGCGCCAGATTGATATGACTAAGGCACCAAGCTACAAACTGGAGACCGTGAGTCTGTCAGAGTGATTGTGGCCAGTCACTTTTTCTCAGCCCTAAATGAAAAGAGGCAAAGGAGGTAAAGACAAATCTCTTCCAAAAATGTTGCCAAGAAAACTGCAAGAACTTGTCCAGACAATTGCAGGAATCAACATTGATCTGAAAGTATATACCCGAAGGTATAATGTATTATTATGGAACGTAGCATCAATCAGTTCAACATGGTTATAAACACATAGGATGTTGCAGCTACAGAACAAGGTTGGCACCCTGTTAACTGCACAGTTGAGAAAAATCAGTCTCACCATTCTCCTCCAAATGGTGGAAACAAATGGAAAATGTTGACCAAAAGAGGAAAGAAAGATAAATGGGGAATGTATCCAGGCTGGTTTTCTTATTCATTATCATGCCATTGTTCCTACAAAAGAAAGTAAAGTTGGCCAACTTCAGGAACCCAAAGTTTGCCTGCTTCCTTCTCTGCAGTTCTGTGGAGCTCTGCCACTATTATAAAATCTGATTTGCCAGTGTTTAATGTCTACTCTAGCGTGTTATATTGCATCATTTTCTTAACCATTTTTATTATCCACTATCAAAGCTACACACTTAGGTTTCTGTTTGTCTCAGATAACTTTTTAAATAATCTGGCTGATAGTCTTTTTAATAGGCAAAAAAACCCCACCATCTTGTAGATTGTCACAGTTTTAAGGATGCTATTTAGGCTGATGGAGACAATTGGAAGGAGAAATATTCTACCTTAGTTAGGCAAAACCATTCTTAACAGGCTGAGCAGATTAAATAGCCTTCCTAAGGTGACAAGACAGAAGACCACTAGGTAAAGGTTTCCTTCACACATACGTGCTAGTTATTTCCGGCTCTAGGGGATGGTGCTTATCTTTGTTATAAAGCTGAAGAGCCAGTGCTGTCCGAAGACATCTCCATGGTTATGTGGCCAGCATGACTAAATGGCAGAGGCACATGGAACGCTGTTACCTTCCCACCAAAGTGGTCCCTATTTTTCTACTTGCATTTTTACATGCTTTCGAACTGCTAGGTTGGCAGAAGCTGGGACAAGTAATGGGAGCTCACTCCGTTACGTGGTGCTAGGGATTTAAACCACTGAACTGCCGACCTTTCTGATCGACAAGCTCAGCGTCTTATGGGTTAATACAAAATATCAGTTGTATAAGTGATATTTTGTATTAACCCATAAGATGCTGAGCTTCAATTGAAAAACAAACTGAAATATTTCGGGGGGGAAAGTAAAAATAAAAAAAACCCTTACAATAACATAGTTGCATAAGTATGCACACCCTCTTGTAAGTAGGATGTGGCTGTAATACATACAGTATATCCCAAGGGGAACTTAGAAATAGTTCAGGTGGCAAGTCATTGAAGTATAATTATGTCCTGAAACTACTATAAATGATGTAAAAGATCATGTAAATGATCTTTTTTGGGAAAGGAAGATTTTTTTGTGTGTGGTTATTGTATGGGACTCAATTTCTTTGACCAAATGTTTGGTGGGATTTGATTCAAAAGGTTTACAAAGTCACTGCTTCTGAGAAGATTGGATATGATAATTGAGCAAACCAGAAGACCAACCAAGGCTGCAATTTAAAACAGAATTATTTAAAAATAACAATGCCTAAAATATATTGGGCTTCTGAGATCAGGCTAAAATGAGATTTTTGTGAACACAGTATCATCACTTTCAGATTGCTTTTCTGTGAATCTTGAATTCTTGCCTTCATCTTTTCTCCTGTAAAGCTTTATTCAAATCACTGTCTACTCATGTTACAGAGTTTTTAAAGGATTAAATAATGAATCATTTCAAATATTTGTCAATACACGTGAAACATTTCCCTTGTCTAAATAATTACTTAAGGAATTAACTCTCAACGCAGTAGAAATGCAAATTAAGATCCTGTCAATGTATAGTAGATGTTGGCTACCTAAGCAAGCTGAGAGGATAAAATGATGAATAGAATGTATCATAATACATGTCAAGAATGACACTATTTCTAGCTTCACATTGCAAATAAATGTTGGAACTATGGTATGAATAGCATAATGAGATCTCTTTATGATGTGCTCCATTTTGACTAAGCACCAGTGGATTCTAGGATGTACAAATTACATGACTGTGATATAGATTGCTCACAACCATAAGTATATAATGCAAGGGAGATCTATGCAGGATTGAGAAAAGCATCTCAGTGACATGCAGACGAACAGACCCTTGCAACAGAACAATTTTAGTACCGATAACATTAATTTTAACCCATATTTCAAATATATTGTCTGCTATTTCGAAGACTTGCAGATTAGAAAGAATATAAGTCAAATCATAAAGTACATACCTTCCTCCTATTTCCTCCACAGCAACCACCCTGTGAAGTGAGTTGGGATGAAAGAGAGTGATTAGCCAGCTGGCTTTAGTGGCTATGGTGGAACTAGAACTCTTGGTCTCTGGCTTTCTAGCCTGATGCCTTAACCACTAGACCAAACTGGCTCCATTGTTATTGCTAATCACTGATCTTTACTACCCGGTTTGGCTAGCTGAATGTGCTATTGATACAGAATCTGGTCAAAAGTTTGAAGCACTGATATATTTTTTTTCTACCCTCTTCCTAAAATGCATTCCCTCTTCATTTCCTGTCATCTGAGCCACAAATTTATCAATGATGATCAAACCCAGACTGCCCTATGAAAGAGGAATTTGATAAAAAACCAAACCGTACAAATGGTTTGTAACCAATTTTAGAAAGATTAGATTCTGTGGAACATGCAGTGAAATAAGATTGTTGAAATTATGGACCCAGGAAACGTATCACCATCATGTGAACTTATATAATCCTGACTGCTGTGGCTGCTGAGTCCCAAAGTGTATCCCATCTTCAAGCTTTTGTACCCTATGACTATTATTAAGTGTTGTACCTTATGGTTCTTGACTTTTGACAAATGTATCTTTTATGTACACTGAGAGCATATGCACCAAGATAAATTCCTTGGGTGTCCAATCACACTTGGCCAATAAAGAATTCAGTTCAATTCAGTTCAGTTCAACAACAATCAAGTTGGGGCTGTTTAGGCCATATATTAATTTCAAAATAAAAAAGGGTTCTCATGGGACATGGAGATGAGAACTAGGATAATTAACCTATGGGTAGGTAATGTCCATGCCCTGCACAAATATTATTAAGTAGACCATAAAACTGCTGAATTCTGAGGGTGCTTTGTCCATCCCAGCATGTAAGACCAAAGTAGAGTTATAGAATTAAATATATCAACCTTCATGAATTGAGCGTTTTAACCAAGAAGCATATCCTATTCATTGAAGCTGAGCTGTGGAGTTCTGTTAAGTGTTCCTATAGTAAAGCATACTTTACTATAGGAACACTATACCACATTGGTACTCCATATGGTGGATTTCTTCCATGCAAGAAGGGATAGCAGAGCAACAATGGAATTTTTTCAATTCACAGGTTTGTGAGAATATAAGCCAATGTATATAACAAAGTGTTATAGCTAAAACATACATATCATAGTAGCAGGAAGCTCAATAAAGTCACAATTATGCTAAAGAACTGAGATGTGCTTGAAGGTTCAAGTAGACCTGGCTAACCAGTGAGAGAAGAACATTATAAAAGATAACAATCAAGACCATACACCATTGCAAAAGGAAAACTCATTTTTATTTTTCTCTTATCCTTCAGTTAATACCACAGCACTGGAATTCACTGTATAGTATAGTTTAAGACAGAAGGCACTGAAGAACCAACCCAATGATATACATGAGAATAATAAGGAAATTGAAATAACATGTCAGCAAAAAAACAGGGCAAGGATAAGAGAATCCACCTGGTACCAGCTTCTACTAATAGAGATGGTAATTGGTAGTAGAAAATCCTAGCACAAAGTCTATGGTACTTTTTGCCACTACATGAGATGATGGTTTTGCCTGAGCATTCAGTGCAATGGCCTAATTTCAAATGCCATGTGCTGAAAATAGGACAACTATGTTCCTCATTAGCCTTTAGGGTAACTTGCAATAAAATGCAGTGCTTTGTTTACAAAGTTAAAACTGAAAAGTTATACCCCATCATTCACTCAAGGAAGGGAAAATAGTTAACTTGTTCTTGCTTATTACTGTACAAACATTAAGGCTTAGCCCTCAATCTTTTCATCTTCAATGTGTCCATAATGGTGGTACAACACTGACCTCATCATGCCAGCTCGCTTTTTTACAGTGATATCCTCTTATCCACAGCCATATTTCTCCCGTCATAATCCTGATTTCTGTGGCTGCTGGGTCCCAAAATGTATCCCACCTTCAAGGGATTCCACAATGGGATTCTTTACAAAGGTGGACCATTTTATTACAGCAAATATGGCAGGCTACATACATAGTAGCAATAACTAGAACTAGAACGTGAAAAGTCTTGCAAGGTAGTACCTCCTCCTATGCATCACATCAACTGCTTTTGAAACAGAGAATTCCAAAAGCAACATGCAATATAGCATCAGGGACAGTTAGAAAAAAAATCATGGAGATACAATAGTCCTTATGCAACCCCAGGAAGTTCTTTGGACTTTGGTCTGTGTACAAATGGGAATTTTCACTGCAGTTTTGACTGGGCTGAATAAATCCCTATCCTTGATGGATATTATTAAACCCAGTAATACTGTATGGATCTACAGTGTGAAAGCAAAAGATTTTGCATTGCACAGGACAGAAATAAAATATTCGTTGTGTTGGTTGTTGTTTTTTTAAATCAAAGTCTTACTGCTTTCTTTAGAGCAAAGAACTCAAAAAGACATGCCATATTATTCCATATTAGAATATTTCAAACATGGGAGTGAAGGGAGGCAGGAAAAATGCATGCCCATATTAGATAGATGTAAGGGTAAAATACATTCTCAGATAGGTAATACTAGCATTATAATACACAGATCATTCTAAACGTACTTAACCATTATGAATTAGACGACTTTCAAGTAGGCCAAATAACTTTTGCAGAGGAAATCTGGATTCATTTGAAAGCCAACGCTGAGTGCTTTACAAAAGGATGTCCATATTGTCCAACTGTGATCTACCTCTGATAAAAGTTTGTCTTAGAATGTAAGTGTGAATCTGTGTATAAAACAAACTAGCTGTCCTCAGCTCAGAGAAGATAAATAATTAAGGAAACGACTCCATAAACAATGTAGGCTGTTTCAGCATTTTAGGTAAAGGCATCTGGGCTTTTATCTGGAGACAAAATAACGAGGGAAAATACCATTCTTTCTCCCAGTTATGGGTGTTGGGTTCCTTCTCCCCATTAGACTTCCTGAAATTATAACATAGCACTCCTAGTAATAGTTTTTTCCCTTTTCTAAATTATTTCTCAGCTTTTGCATATAAGACACACAAGAAAGCTACAATTAGCTGCAGTATAAAGTGTAAAAATGGTTTTTAGAAAAACATTTTTTTACATAGCAAAACATTCACTTTGGACAGCAATTATCAATGCATATTAATATTGCAGATTAAACTAATGTCACCCCCAATTAATTTTTGTTACTGTTGCCAGCACTGTTATACCCACATTACATTTTATTGAAGGGGACAACCCCCTTTACACATGAAATATTTAAAAAAAACAATCCAATTATTGCAGTTCTTTTTTTTTTTAAAGTAGGCTTTGGTCCTACTCAGTGAACATAGTCAGGATGGAAAGAAATTCAAATAATTTTTGTAGGGATTAGGAATATTGAGACACACATAATTTTTTGCTCCTTTGAAAGGGACTAAATCACACACAACTTAATTTGCTAGATTTCTTAAATCTAAAATCTCCTTTAGTGAAAGAGAGAACTGGCAGGGCCTAGATGACCAAGAACTGTAATAGGCAAATAAAGTTATATATAGAAGTGGCAGATTTTCATTAAAGCATCATTCTTTTGAAAGAATTTATATTGTATCTACTCTAACAATTGTGTACACTTCATGAAGAGTCATTGTACTTTGTACCTCCACTTTCACTTATCATTCCAATCTTTCACTTTAAAAAAATCTGGACCTTATGGTTGAAGAAATATGCTGCCTAGTCTAATAAAATTGACCATAGCTTTCTTTTACATAAACTGTTCTGGAATGGATGGTCGTATTAGCAGATGGATTCTCTGTTGGTTGAACAATAGTAACCAATTCATGATTTTTAGTAGATCAAGAGGAGCGGATACTTCAGAATTCTATTCTGGACCCAACCTTCTTCAGCATTGTTATAAATGCTTTATGCAAGCTATAGAATGGATGCTAAGCAGATTTGCAGATGACACAAAGCCGAGAGGAGAGATTGGTAATACGTTAGAAGACCAGCTCAGGTGTCAAAGGATATTGATTGATTTGCATATTGAGCCCTTTCAATGAAATTCAGTTCAATGGTCAGAAATGTTAAGGTTCTGCAATTAAGGTGGAAAGAAACCAGATGCACAAGTACAATACTGGTGGTATTTGTTTTGAAAGTAGTATTGGCGAGAAGGATCTGGGTGTCCTGGTAGACCACAGATTAAGTAAGAGCCAACAACGTACTGCAACTGCCCCAAAAGCCAATGCCACCTTAGGCTACGTTAACAGAGGTATAATCTTGAGATTGTGGGGAACAACAATTCTACCATGCACTGGCCTGCTCAGATTACAACTAAAATAATATATCTGGGATTGGCTGCCACAGTACAGGAATTGGAAAGAAGGCAGAGAAGAACAAGAGATGATGAGGGGTTTGGCAATTGAATCCTATCAAGAACAATTAAAAGGACAGGGGATGTTTACCCTAAAGAAGTTAAGGCTAAGGGAAGACTTTACAATGCCAGAAGGGCTAACATAGGGTGGAGGATGTACATTTATTCTTCATAGTGTCAGAAGATAGGGCAAGAACTAAAAGGTGGCAGCTTCACAAAGAGAGATCCACATTTAAAATTAGGAAGAATATCCTGATGATAACAGCTATTAAGCAGTGGCATTCTGGAGCTGTGAGTGTTCCATCTCTAGAACAATGGCTGGTTATTCATTATAGCTAGCCTAGAAGACCGAGGTCCCTTCCTGCCCTATTACTTTATGAATCTTGAAAGTCAGTGAATGGGTGAGCCAAGCTTCCTGTGGCAAGAAGCTCCATTGTACCCCATGCCTTGTCCAATGATAATGCAAAATACACAATGAAGACTTAATGGAGGAATAAATTATGCAAAACAGAAAATGCAGACATAATGGCAAGTTCTCATAATTTATTCAGATTACAGGATTTGGAATTGTCACAAAAGATACCTGCCTATAAGCAAAGCACTGCTCTGCATCCAATGCTGCTTTCATGGGTTGGTCATGCATCAGTGCATGCCTTAGATAGTAATACTGATGCAGTTTCAGCCTTGTGGCAACTATTTATGCTACCAGAGGTTCTTACAAGCTGCTGTCATGCTTCACATGAAACATGGGCTTGCTGATTACATGTAGCCAGGGACAAATTGGTACATTATAATTTATGATGCCATAAATACTTTTTTCGGACAACGGCTGACAATCATTTTCTTTCTTTCCAGTGCTCCCTGCCATCCAATGCATTTGAGGATAGAAAACCAATTGTAACCTTGGGACAGTGGGCCTTCTTGTGGGTTAAGACTATTATATGGAGCATGTGCTACATGGAGTTACTTCCTGCAGCTTCTATGTGGCAGTCATAGCACAAACAATTGCTCAGGCTCATTTAAACAGAAGAATACTGAAATGTAGGAAAAAATATGTCGAAGTTAATCTACTAAATGTTAACGCAGCAACACATTTTAACAATTGAAACGGAGGGTTCCAGGTGTGCCTTCCGTGAGCAATAGGAAACACCTTATAGAATAACCATCACTTATGAAGAAGGCCTTACGTGTCCCTTGTTGTTAACCTGCTGTCTTCAGGTTATACATTTGCACCTGTATTTAATAATGCGGAGATCAGCCTAGCAGGTAGCTAACATGCCAGCATGTTGGCACCCAAACTAGGTGCAATCCTGTTCCCACTACAATAGTTGGAAATAGGCTGATCTCCTTAAGCCAACCAAGAAACTGAAGTATATGAACATGGATACTGCAATGACATAATAATTTGAAATAAAATAATAATAAACAAAACTTGATAGGAATGGCTTCTTTAGGATGAGAAGAACAACACAGTACAGTTAAAAATCTTCCTTCCCCACACATCCCGCTGTTCACACACATTTGTCAGATTTGAAGGTAGCAATTTTTTGGCCCAGCTTATTACCAGCTGCATTAGTAGAAAAGGGGAAAAAAACACAGCTTTGCCTGAAAAAGTCGAGCCAGCTATTAAAAAAAAAAAGCTGCTTCAACCAATGTATATGTTCTTTGCATGTTATACAAGACTTCCTGGCCAGCAGATAACAGTCAAGGTTACTTTATTTCTCTGTTCCTTTAACATAGGAACCAGCGCTGAATGGCTCATACCCATGGTTGAAAGTCCATTGACAGCAACAATCATATCACCACATCTACGGAGAGAAACAATGAGGATTAGTAAATTACACAATCCCACATACTGCAGGAAATGACCTGAGTTTGCATGACCAATTCTTAGATACCTCTGTTTAGGTATGATGGAAAACTAAATTTGACACAATTCTCGTTGCAAAGGATGTTAACTGGCTGATGTATACATGCAAAAAATAATTGTTCCAAAGAAGAAGGTATTTTGTTTACATGAAATATACATCTTACAGCAAGTACAATCTCTCACTGTCTCTACTGCAGAAGAGCATGCCTCTTTGAAGATGATGCTGGTAATTCAGAGTTTTAAAAAGTAACAATTGAATTCAAATGATTTTGAATGTTTAATTTGATTGACTGAGTAATTGAGAACACTTCAGTTAATGGAACAATTTACAGTGGATTCACGAAATAGCATAGCTGTGGAAAATATCTGGAAAGGCAGAAAACTGAAAAAAATTCAGCTTAGCATTTAAAATTGTGAAAAAAAGAGGAATGTGGGTTGATTTGGTGGGTAATGGATTCTTGGTTTGTGATAGATTACCTGAAGGATATCAAATTGGGAAAATGATCCAGATCCTCCTGAGGAAGCAGCAGTCAGAAGTTCACCAGGCAAGGCTGCTATGAGGAATATACTAGGTATCTGTCAGTTAAAGCAGAGGTCTCCAACCTTGGCAACTTTAAGACTTGTGGACTTCAACCCCCAGAATTCTCCAGCCAGCTCTGTCCACAAGTCTTAAAGTTGCCAAGGTTGGAGACCTCTGAGTTAAAGTATCTGCTAAATGTTGGACGCTAGCCTTGAGGCAGGTGCCATGAAGGTTGTGAGCCTCAGTCTGGCTTGGTTATCTGGGAGGAATTGACCCTGTTAGTTCACAGCAAGTGTATAGGATTCTTAGACTATAAGCTTGGATCCCTGCCCCTCCTGGTTACCCAAACATCCCCAGGAGATGACATGGAGTTAGGATCTGGTGATGGGAATGAAGGCCTGGTCCTGCCAATTTTGAAGGAGGAACTGGTTCATTCCCTTCTAAAAAAAACAACTATTGAGGAACTCAACTAGGTAGACAACTTCTGTCCTTCCCTTTCTACTGAAAATCAGCAAAAAACGGTCCCAAATCCTGATCACATGGCCACGGAACACACAACTGGCTGTAAATACAAGCAGCTTGCCAACCACCCAGCTGTGATCATGTGACTGCAAGAGGGGGAGGTAGTCATAACTTTGAGGATGAGTCCATCATAACATAAGATGAGTGGACTTCAACGCCCAGGATTTGGGAAGTTGAAGTCTATACATCTCAACGCTACCAAGATTAAGAAATGCTGGACTTGAGAACGAATCTGAAGTATCAACTGTGAGCTCTGGTGACTTATCCTTATCTTGTTAAAATCACAGATTAAAAACAAAACAAAAAGAAGCCTTACTTGAGTCTTCCATCAAAATATGCTGGTGTTCCTATAACAATTGTTTTAATGAAGAAAGGCTGGTTTGTGTGATTTTCCTCGTAGCCACCAACAATGCTAAATCCCCAGCTGGCTAGATTGCTCCTTCTCAGCACAACGTCATGGTAACTATGTAGGCAGCTGTGGGGGGAAAAAGGGCAAGGAGTTGTAAAATCTATTAAGCAAATCTGTTAGCCCACTAACAAATAATATTAACTCTTTCAGGCTTGCCTGCATACGATGAATTAATGATTTTTAATAATTCAAACAGTAATCGTTCAATAAGATGTCTTTCTAAACAAAATCTCTTCTTTCCCTGAAACATGGCACACCTTTTAAATATCCAGGCAAAACATTAAGTCAACTGACTTCATACCCAAACCTGGATCTATATTCTATGAGATCAAGAATGCTGATGTGTGGAAAATAACTAATTTTGGGAAACTCTTGGGAAAAGTAACCTGAGGTCTTGAAAGGGGCAGATACATTTTAAACATAAAATAGCAAATAATAAATATATGACAAATCACTTTTATAGCTCCTTTTTAAAATGGACTCCTTTTTACTAAACAGGGCCTGTGTTGTGGTTCGCCAGCAGCCTGTGCAGACGGCATCGGAACTGGACAGTGGGGAAGAACGGGAACCAGCTCAGGAGCCTGGGGAGGACTCGGACAAGGGTCCTGCATCCAATGCAGAGATGGGACCAGGACCATCTATCTGGGATGGTGTGCTGTGGGGTGCTGACTCTGGAACCTCCAGAGTCTGGCAGCAGCGAGGCAGAGGAACAAGGGGAGCCTGTTCCCAGTGTGCATGTGCGCAGAGCTGCTAGAAGGCAAGAGCAGCTGAGACTAAAGTGTGGGGACTCAGGAGTAGGGCTTGGAGGTGATTGCCCCTCCCATAAGGTATAAAGGACAGGCAAAGGTGAAGAAATCTTTGTAGGAAGCAAAGTCGTTCACTCTGTTCAGATTAAACCTTGAAGCTCTGTGTGGACTTTGTACTTCAGTTGGTTTTTTACAGTTAATTTGGCACTTCAGTTGTTGGCAGCAATCCAAAGGAGATAAAGGTGGGTGCTTATCTCGAGGGACTGTTTGAGACTCATTACAGGCTGGGAATAAACATAATTCTCAGTGTTGAAATAAAACAAGAGCTGTTTGCACTAAGCGTGTGCTCAATTACAGTCTCGGAAGCCTTGGTCAGAACAGCCTGCTTCTTTGTTTTGTTGGTTTGAGCTTTCACAAGAAACTATAGGCTGATCCTGATATTCTGAGAGAAATTCTTTTTAAAAAAAGGTATTGCTGTACTAATCATGTATATTTATAGAAACCTTATTAAAAATTACAATAATGTCTTCTATTTTTAACACATTATACTGTAAGAGAAGGCATGCACAGGACTTGCAAAGAACTGAGGTTGAATGCAGAAAACAGCATGATTCTTCAACCCTGCTCAGAAAAAAAATATGCAGACGCTACAGAGAAGAAGAAGAAGAAATTACTCATACCTTGGAAGTCCTAACCACATGACCCAAGATGGCGACCAGCTAGCATCATATTCATTCTCACTGATGGTGCTCGGCTGCTCATCATTTGCCTGGGGCTGCTCTTCTGCAATCTGGACCTCTAGAGCCTTTAGAGCAACGACCGAGGAAGCAGCACTGGCTTTGAGCATAGCCACAGCTTCGCTGTGACTCAGATTGGTCAGATCAATGCCATTAATATTCATCAACACGTCACCTGGGCAAAAACCAACAAGAGATCCTGTTGAGGGGATGTTCAATTGCAAATGCATACCACCAAGTTGCTATTTTCTGTGCTTTATCTAAGAACAGGATGTCACGTATGTACAGATGCAGAGGACATATGGCAGCTTGCATCACGCTTGACAGAGCTATAAGGTCTGTTATATCTGCGCTGCAATGCCAGCATTTTCCAATCAGCCTCATATGCTAAAAGAGGCAGTCCTTTCTTTCTTTTCTTTTCTTTCTTTCTTTCTTTCTTTCTTTCTTTCTTTCTTTCTTTCTTTCTTTCTTTCTTTCTTTCTTTCTTTCTTTCTTTCCTTCCTTCCTTCCTTCCTTCCTTCCTTCCTTCCTCCCTCCCTCCCTCCCTCCCTCCCTCCCGTCCGTCCGTCCATCCATCCATCCATCCATCCATCTGACTGGCTCAATATTGCCTTCTGCTTTTACCTCTTTTGATCCTGCCATCTCTTGCCAAACAGCCATGAGGTTGTACACTTGTAACAAATATTGGCAATTCCCCACTTTTGCTGCCTCGACCTCCTGCTACTGTCATGCCAAGGGACTCGTGTGGCTCCTTCTTCACTGTGATATGCTTCTCTTGGCAGGTCACACATTGTGAGAGGTCCTACAAAACAAACAACAACAAACAAGAGTTTAGGCACACATTTAATTTAGATTAAGCCTGAAGGAGGGAAGCCAAAAGGTCTGCACATGCAGATCCTGATGGAGAACAAATAGTCATGTAAACTTTGCCAGCACCCATTAACTGTAGCTCAACAATTTTTAAATACTGAAATATGCTTGCAAAAAACATGCACTGTGGGAGACTGCATTTTGAAATATATTTCACAGGAGATTTCATACCTAACAGAACGCATTGAGGATAATTGTTTTTAGAACGGCATATATTAGAGTGGTTCACAACACAACTGTTATTACAGAAAATTAAGTATATCAATGCAAGTGGATTTTCTTAAAAAACATTTTGCAAACGAATTACTGTCACAGTGATACTGATAAGATGTTTCATTTAAAAAGACTCATATAGTTATTTAAATTAAGACACTGTCATTCCCTCCCCTCAAAGATTCAGGAACTTAAGTGCTCCTCCACAAACCTTCTTACAAATACAAAATATTGGTGCTCTCCCCAATCAACCTCTCTGATCTAAAATTCTTTTTTTTTTTTGCTGTGTGGATTGTATAACAATACAATATACAATACAATTTGGAGGGGGGATATGTGTGCATTTGGAGATGGCTTATATCCTTTTGGCTCTGAATGTACGTTTCAAGTTGAGAAATTGTATAATGAGAGGCGGCACATTCCTATCTATTCTGCTGGGGTATTTTAAGTGCCTGCCCATATTTATAGGACAATATTTTTAATTATAAAAATTAACAGATGCCTGTGGGAATAGCTATGCTATCCAGTAGAGGGTGCATTTTTCCAACTTCCTAGGCATCTAATCATACAATGTGTAACCTTAACAAAAATGTATGGACAATGTCATTCTTTCAGCAATCAACATTGTAGAGGTAAGGGGTAACTCCTGGTTTTTTTTTCATTTTTTTCCCTTCATTTCCCAATTTTGGGTTCATTCCATTTTAGTTTGCAATTTCTTAAAAGGAATATGCATAAAAAGTTTTTCACATCTTAATACGCATTTTCCTTCAATATACCTATTTTATATGTTGGTTTGCTTAATAACTGCATTTAAAAAACACCCAGTTCCCCAATACATTATTTTTATATATTATTTTTTATTAATACATTAAATTTTATGTGGATATTTCCTCCCGTATGGATTTCAATACCTAGTTTACTGGAAAACTGTATTAAAAATTCTGTAAAGATACGAACACTGAAATGCACTGAATGCATTTCAATTCATTTATTTGTTTAGGAAACACAGAGGGAGATTTATATTAGAATATACATTTAAATAATATCTTGTCCATTCCCAAACTTACCTTATGTGGGCTTGGCCTGTTGCTGTGATATAGCTGATAGGACTGATGATGACTGGTAAGATGGGTTCCTCCATCTCTCAGAATGCTTACAATTTGGGACTTGGTAGGCCTGGAAATGGTTAAGTTCACCCTCTCGCCACTGGCCTGCAAATTCACATGAAACATGAACGGAGGAGGATTGGGGCATAAACACTGGCTAGCTCTGAGAGCAAAGAAGAGTCAAAATACAGGCAGTCTTCGCTTAGTGACTGTTTCAAGTTACAACAAACCCACTAAAAGCCATTTAGGAGCCAGTTTTGCAATTTCATTGCAATTTCACACCCACACCCACACACACCATGGTCACATGACTTGTTTGCGTGGCACAGCAGAAGTGACCGGGAAAGTGCAGGCTTGCAGGAGGTGAGTTGGAACGCCTCTGTGCCTGCGCAAAGTGCATGTTTGGTACACAGGCACAAAGTGTGTGCATGCACGCCAAGTGCGCCCACCATGCCACACCCACTGAACCGGTGGTAAAATGTTTTAAATCCTGCCACTGGGTAACAACATCGTTGATTTTTAGAAGGCCGGCCATCTTTAATCTGGCAACTGGCAGGTGTATTAAGGCAAGAAACCCCATCATTCCCAACCACCCCGGTCCAGCTTGGGCAAATCACAGTACACAAAAGAGAGTGAATCCCCAGCTACCGGATTTTACCTGGATGATATGAGCAGCCAGTTCAGGTGTGCCGTGCTTCAGGTCATGCCCATTGATGGCCAACACCTTGTCGTTGCTACAGAGCCGGCCATCCTGAGCAGCCAACCCCCCTTCCAGCAGGTCAAGAATAAACACTCCTGGCTCATCTGTTCTGCGCACCAGCTTAATGCCAAGCTGTTCACTGGAGTCTCGCTTGTGTAAGGTCAGATGGAAGCTATCCTCTCTCTGGGGAGGGCTATCACTATGATTGTGTGTTCGGCTTACGAATCGTCTCTCTCGGAGGACAGTGAGATGCAGTGATGTACAGGGCTGGGAAAGGATGGCCCTGGCATGGTTGTGAGACACGTTACTGATGTCAAAGTTATTCACCTAGAAAGAAAAGAGGCAGAAAAGATACGTTGGACTTTGTGACAATACGCCCCTATTCAATGTTCCAGACGGGCATCTGTTTCCAGGACATGCCATTTATTTCTATACCCTTTTTGGCTCCCATTTCCCAGTTTCTCTGTCTGTTCCTGCAATAATCAGCATGACTACATTTAGGTCAAGGATTTTGCATTTCTGGAAGTTTTCCCACCATCTTTTCTGCATGAAAGCTGCTGTTCTGGGAGCATAAGGTTAAGCATTCAGGGAATGAGTGAGCTATTAATATACAGAATTCACACTTTGTAAGATTGAAGCCAAATGTACTGAACGTTTTTCACAAATATTCTTGGCAATTTCAAAAACAACCTTTGGGGAACATTTTTTTTCTTTTGCAGCTAGGTAGATCTTTTGAAAAGATCTACATATTTACCTATATTAGTCTGTTTTCACCCTTACTGATAGCCAGGAATGCTAATGGTACACTCTGTATGATGAATTTATTCTATCCTTATCAGCTTTCCTCAACTTGGGGCCTTCCAGAGGTATTGTACTACATTTCCCCAGTTACAGTAGATTGAGGGGAGCTAGTGCCACATGATGAGGAAGGAAAATAAAGAAGAACCCTGAAGGAAAGAGCCTGAAACATCAGAAGGAAAGAGGCTGTAGTATCACTTAATAGGATGAAAAAGACCAATCCAAAATCTAAACCACTAAATGTGTTGACACCTTATGATTAGAATAATCATTGAGACTCAAACAACTGTTTCCTTTTCACATTCTGTGTGAAATAGCTATTTGCCACATTCTTGAGTATTAGTAAAGGCGTAAAAAATACATTCTACTTCTTTCTCTTTTAATCTATTTTTCTCTCTTTTAATTCACAATATGCTTCAGTATTCCCAAAGCATGTTAATTAAACTTTGAGACATGTCTCCATTTCTCACTTTTCCTGCCAGTAGAGAACATATATTCTCAGAGAACTGAAATTTGGGGAAAATTTGGCAAAATCCTTCTCAATTGCATATTTATGAGCTTTTATTTAAACTTTAAAGGGAAATGAAAGAACAGAGTTTACCAAAGCAAAATAATGATAGTTCACTGATATTGGTAATAATTGCATAACGCAACATAAAGAAAGGGAATTTAAGAGACACAATAAATATAGAAAGAGGATCTATTCAGGAAGTCCAAGTGATTTTAGAAAGCAACTTTAGAATTCTTTCTTGCCTTATTTTGTCACTGTAGCTCTTGTCTTCAGCTTTGATTGGCGATATTAGGCTAAACCTATGCATGAATACTGACTTCAGGGGTGGCATTGGAATGATTTTATGCAGCCTAAGGTAAGCTCAGCAAGCAGAAAGCGGAATCCAATCTCTTTTCCAATGTTGTATTTTTGTACTACTTCTCACACTCAAGCATTTTCATCAACCCAGAATAAATACTTTGGATACACCTCTTGAATTAAATGATGCTTTGGTAGCACCCTAACTCTTTTCCTATTCTAAGCAGGCACCTTAGACAACATTCAATAGAACTAATTAGGAAATTGTAAACATCCTATTATTCATCTCTCAAGTTATCAATTCTTTTTGAGTATTTGAACTGTTAAAAGGACTGCTATCTTTGAACAAATTTGTTGAAACCTTCACTAGGCATAAAAATATAAGGAAAGCCTGGATGGATCATAACGAGACAAATGGCCAACTGGTCAAATTCTCTTCTGTTGGTACCAACTATATATATCATATATTTGGGAAGCTCACAAGGCTAGAGTGGAGGGTGGTGCTCCTTTTCACTGCTGCTTTCCAACAACCGGTATTTTAGAGCATGCAGCCTACAGTTCAGCAGCCACTGACTGTCTTATCTTCCATGATCCTGATTAGTCCCCTTTAAAAAAAACTCTATCTGAGGATCACCTGCTAAATTGAAAGGAAGCAAGAGGACAAGAGAAGCAGTAGAGATGCAACCATCTCTGACACAATATCTCTCAGTTCGGTGGGAGAAAATGTTCTGTTCAATGGTGACTTTCAGGATGACATTCTCTATGGCCTTCTTTGCAGTCTGTAAAATTGCTTCTGTCTTGTTGTGCTCAAGATAGACCCTCTGGGGAAGGAAAAAGCAGCAGTACAGCAGGAAATTTGTGGGGGGAGACAAGACTTGGTTTAAATTGATCCTTCCAATAGGTTATCAACCTGAGGAACTGATAATTGTAAAACTAATGGATTTCCTAAAACTCCAATAAGATTTTCCATCCTCCATCGGCCTTCTTCCTCATATAAAATGCAAGACCTCATTCTAATTTGAGAAGGCATGGACACCCACAAAATCTTAATCCTAATCTCTTAGAATTTTTATGACAAAGGAAGACATGAACATGATTTATAAACAAAAATGACATTGCTATATTTTTCCAATGTATTATACAGTCTGCTCTATATGAAGCATATCTCTCAGAAAAGAAGGAATAAACAATCATTCTGATTTCCCTATTTTTTTGTTGAAAAATATGAAATGAATATAAAAATCATGAAATCAGGAATATAGCTACTGAAAAAGCTTACAGTATTTTACTTTGCTTTAATTATGGCACGTTCTGGCCATTAGCTGCTACATTAACTTTTATCCCAAACAGAGAATTCCAAAAATGTGCCAGGAAATCATGAAGCTTTCTTGCTTACTCATCATCTAATACAGAGCTGCACAATCTAGACACACCAGAGTTGAGAAGAATATATAAATACCTGCAGTATTTGATCTCCAGCAAGAAGCCTTCCATCTCTGGCAATGATCCCGTCACGATAAACCTCTTGAATAACAATATTGATCAAAGGTGTTTCATTGCCACCCACTATGCTAATTCCCAATTCAATATAAGGATTGGACCGATGAATTTCAATGGTGGTGATCTCACCTTCCGGTAAACTTGATGGCTGATGGATTGCTGCCCAGTTGGGAAAGAAGTCAATATGTACATATAAATACTTTTTTTCCCAATGCAATATGTTGCTAGACAAAAATAAAATAAAATAAAATAAAACAAAGTAAAATAAAAGACACCCGATATGTCGTAAGTCAAACAAATTAAAACTAAGCCTGCATGACTTTTTGACCAAACTCAAATTGATAGTAGGTAGCTAATGTGGGGACACCTGAATAGAGACTGGAAGGCTGGAAATAATCTGGAAAAATTGTGTGTGTGTAAGGGGTGGGGACAGGATGGAAAAACCCCCTGTCTCGTCCCAATTTTTCCAGGTTTTTTCCAGGCCTTACCCATCTCTACATCTGAAATGTGACTTTTAACAGGGCTGCTAAAGCCCAAAGCAGATCAGCAAGAGCTACATAGTCAGCCAGTGATTATCAGATACCATAAAGCAGCTTGTGCATCTCCAATTATGTATTTATTTGTTTGTTTATTTGTATATCAAATTTATATGGCTGCCCATCTTATAAAAAGTGACTCTGGGAAGCATACAACAAAGATACAAAAACAACAAGCACCTGAAAAAAAAAAGAGAGTCACAATTACAACATTTTAAAAAGCCATTAGGCACAAAAAGATTAAATGTTAACAGCAATAATGGAGCCACTTCAAACAGTCCCCTGGGAATCCCAGGCTTAATGATGTAGCTAAATCTTTAGGGACTTTTAGAAATAAAGGATGGAATTAAACTCACTTCCCAGGGGAAGGGAGAATATTTCATAAGGTTGTGTGGGATAATAATGATGGAGTTTTAGAAAATTGTTTCACAAAAAGATGTATGTGAAAGCCAAAGGAAAATTCATATGATTTGGCTTCAGACAAATTTAAATTTGTAATGGCCACTCACTTAAAGTGATATCAGAGCCGTTCATACAAATGTATAAACAACACAATCGATTAAAACTGTTGTTGTACATATGCAGCATAACACTGGCATAAATGCTTTCTATTTTATAAAATAAAGGTATAAATGCCAATGTGGGCATGGAGCTCTCCAGATCCTGATTCTGAGCAAATTGTACCTCCCAGTTTTCAATGCTTGGCAGTTGTCACAATCAAGAAAGCTGAAGATAAATAGGACTTTAAAAAAAAAAAACACCTCCTGGTTATTTTTTAACACAAGTATTTATTCTGTGTAGCTCTAATTAATTCTCAAGGTTTCTGTAAACAAATGTTTAAATAATACTGTTTTAGTTGTTGTAATGTTCTATCTTGTTTATATTGATTGTAAGTTGCCTAGAGTTGCTTCTAGGTGAGATGGACAGCATATGAGTTAAATACATACATACATACATACATACATACATACATACATAAAAACAGGTTATTTGGTTGCAATGCGGGAGAAAATCTGATTTTGAAATTTCTCAAAGTTTACCATTTAAAGTGCACCGATCAAAGCGAAAACTAAAAGAAGAACAAAACTCACTCTCCATTCCTATGTTCTCCTCAAAAGCAGGGTTATCAACCCCAGACTCATCTGTCCACACTGAAACCGTGGCGGAGGTCATGATCTGCTCCACTGATGCCATCCCGGTCCCAGCATGCTCTGCTTCAGGTGACTGGGAGTCCAGATGATCTAGCATGGCATTCTCATTTTCACTTTCAATGGCTGCCTGCAGTTTGCTGTTCATCCTTCTTGTCTCCAAGGCAGCCCTTCGATTGGAAGCCCCAGCACACCTAGAGAAGAAATGCTTCTATATTATCATAAAAACAGGGAACAGATGCTTGAAAAACAACAACAACTATCTTTAGTTGCATAAAGTAATGTAATATAAGCATCCCCATATGGTGTCGCTTGGAAATGATGGGAGCTATAATTAAAAGACAAAAATCTGGATATAACAGGAAAGTTCGTTGCCGCAATATTGATATTGTACAGAGAACTAGCCAATGCCATGAATGTCCTTTGGATTCAGATCTTCCAAATTTCTTCACACATACATTTCGTTCAGTCTCTGGAACTTCTGTTGAGTGCTTGGTGCTCTCTTAAGCTTTGCTGTTTGTTTACAGAGATTTCATTGCCCAACTAGGTAGTATCATCAGTGTGGGTGAGTGTAGGATTTGCTCTCTGTTACTGTTAAAAACAGAAAACAACTGTCAAGGAGAAAGCCACACCCAAAACTGCCAGGACAAGCTACTGTATATCTCATTCAGTCACACAGATGATGTTACTTAGTTGGGTAATGAAATCTCTTTAAACAACAAAGCTCAGAGAGCAAAAGGACTCCATCATTCAACCCTGAGCTACAACTATCCTCTTCTTTGGTGATTCCTATATGAAATGATTGTGGGTGGTCCACCAATATTTATTATTAAGTATGATTAGTACTTTCAGCACTCTTTCTTACTGCCATACCTTGTGTTTTCTTTTAAAGAAAAGAAAAATATCTACAAACTTTAGAACAATGATCTTTGTCTTAGGTTCAGAAAAGGAAGTAACCCTCATAGGAATTCCGGTACAGCAGGCATAGAATAGGGGAGGGAAGGGCTGGGGAGGGGAGGGGAGGGGAGGGGAGAGGATTATATGTACATGTTTTTGGCTACTCCAACCAGCTGTAGACTTCATTTTATTTTCATGTTCTGTAAGTGAGGGAACTAACGCATTAACAAAAGAAGAACTCTTCTGCCTCATACTCCCAAGAAATGAAGCTTGAAAGCAATCAAAACATATTTAGCTGACTTCATAGCTGCCCGCAACCAGAGCAAAACGACATTTGTGGCATCATCACACAAATGCCCACACCTATATTTTGCATCAGATGTCAGAACAAAACCACATAATGGTGGCATTTGTTCAATGACATCATAATGCACATGTCACTATTTCAGCATAACTTCTACCCGTCTCATTTAGGTTGGTCAGGAGAGGACATAGTCCAGACTTTATGATGCATTAAGGGATTAAAAGGACCAAAAACCATGACTTTTCTCTAGCTGCACCTGCCCTCTGAAACACCACATCACCTGAGGTTCAGCTGGTCCCGACTCTGCTTACCTTTAAGACCGGAGTGTTTTTCCAGGCACAGGGGTCAGGAGAGGAATCAAGCCTATGCTGTTAGTGAATGATGTGCTTGGGAATCTTTGGAACAGTATTTATTTATTTAATATACATTGTACTTATATTGTGCTGAAATTCCTTTAGCTGCCCAAAGTTGAATTGGTGAGACGGGTAGCAAACAACAATTGCACTTTTCTGTGGATACGGTTGGCTGTCTTGATACCCAAAGGTTTCACTCTATGAATATCTGTGACCTTAATACATCACATCGTTAAACTCCATCAGTGTTCAGTGGGGACCTCCAATGGGCTATCAATCAGAACAGAACAGAATAACAGAGTTGGAAGGGACCTTGGAGGTCTTCTAGTCCAACCCCCTCCTCAATCCCTTAGTTGGGGATTGTTCCTCAAGGCTGGAATCATATAATCAATTTATCATTTATTAGAATTAGTGGGGTGGGGAGAGAATGGGGACTTTGCAGTGACTTTCCCCCAGGAGTGCAGACGGAATGGAGATTTTACAGTATCCTTCCCCTGCCATGCCTACCAAGCCATGTCCACCAAGCCACGCTCACAGAACCAGTAGTAAAAAAAAAAATTGAATCCCACCACTGGATTGGAGTCATGTGCACACAGGGCTTTAAAGGTGATGCCAAAAACTTGAATGGCACCTGGAAGCAGACCAGCAACCAGTGAAGCTTGCAAAGCAATGGTATGTATAACATGGGCCAGTTTAGGAGCACTAAGAATTGCTTGCGCTGCTGCATTCTGTGCCAGCTATTGCTTCCAAATGTTTTTCAAAGGTAGCCTCGTGTAGAGTGCATTGCAATAATCCGGATCTGGAATGATTAGGATTTGAGTGACTTGGGAGGATCAGGAAGTCCTGACCCAGGAAATGCTGCAACTTGAAGTTGTGCAAAGGCTGTCACTGCCAGCTGCTTTTTGAGCAGGGGGGCATGAGAACCCCAAGTTGTGGACCAGGTCTGTCTGGGGTACTGTACCTCATCCAGAAGTAAAGATGTTAAATCACAGTCGATACTTGACTAACTTGTGAAGCAGAATGTCTATCTGTTTTATCTGTTATATTTATAACTCTGCCTTTCTTTGGAGAAATCAAATTTTCAAGCACAGCATCAGTTCCTCCATTTTTTTCTGCCACAATTATGTACTAAGTTGAACCGGGAGGCAACAAAGAGCAAAAAGTTAGGAAACAAAGTTTTCTAGGAAGAAGACAATTAATACTGGATAGCAGTTTGATTAGGTAGATGGTACACTGTAGTAGTAGCAGCTGCAAGCAGCTACTAGCAATTATTCAATTTTTCCTGATCTCCCAAATGCCTTTTCCATATTTCACATTGTCTTTAATCATCCCTTGGGCCCCATGGGAATTCTCTTCATGACCTACAAACAGCTTGTAGAGTAGAGATCTCTCTTTGTGTGGGCAACCTTGGGTGCATAGCTTTGATAACACCTTCTATTTGTTATTTTGCAATCCAGAGTATGATAACGATCACTGATTTTTACTCTAGAAAAGTAAGATTTTACTTATTTTTGACAGGAAAGGGTCAAAAGAAAAAGAAAATTGAGAGTGATTTAATTAATTGATGTGATCCATTGGTTGTTTAATAGGAGAGCAAATCCAAGTAGTCTAGCTCAATTATTCTCCCTGCTACCCACATTTTGAAGGGACAATTCTACGTTAGAGAATCTTTTCTCTAATGTAGTTTTGCAATTGTGTCTACATTTCAGAAAATCAGAAGGGAGAAAGAGTCTTATTTATCACATAATTTTTCACCCAAACAGAATGCATACATAGGGTTGTAAAATATCTACAGTCCCAGAGATAGTTTCTTTCTCCTTTCACTTTGTTTTATTAAGAAGCACAAGGCTGATCTGTTGCTACTCAACACCTTTTAAATAACATTCCAAAAGGAGACAGAATGGGAAAGAAACAAAATATATGAAGGCAGGCAGGCAGGCAGGCAACATAGAGGATAATTATAATAATAAAGTCAATTAGGCCTACTGTCTCACTATTTACCTGTTTTTCAGGTGTGCTTCCAGATCGCATCTCTGCATTACCTCTTCGCATACTGAAGAAAAGGGACACAGCACCAAGAGCTTGTCAAGCAGTTTGTGAACAAGGATGCTAGATTTTTTGCACAGTTTAAAATGCAGCCTTTTGCGGTCTAAGGGACAGAAGTCCTTCTCTTGCAAAAAGTTTCGTAGGCACTTATAGCAGAATGTGTGACCACAAGGCGTGTCTAATGGCTGTAGCAAGGGTTGAAGGCAAATATGGCAAACCAAATCATCGTCCACCTCATTTTGATAATTGTACAAGTGGTTCTCTCTTGTCCAATGCTGCTGGCCACATTCAAAGCAGAGTGGGTTCAGGTTCTGTTCCGTGGAGACCATCTCTTCGTTCGAGGTGCCCATTCTATGGTAAATTGGATCAGTTCTTTTTTTTTTTTCCCCAGTAGAGATCTTGCTTGTAAAGGTCCTTTAGTAAAGAGTCATTACTCTGAAATATACGACAAATGTACAGTTACTGGTGCAAAGATCAGCTGCTAAAGCTAAGATGAACAAGAATACTGAAAATACAATGCAGGAAGCAACTTCATACTTTTGCGATACATACATCATATGACTAAAAATTGGCCATATGCAGGAAAAGGGGAGTGGAGGTGACAGGAAGAGGAAACACATTGGTTTCCCTTTGAAGTTTTGTGGCATTTAATTCTGTTGCTAACTGCTCATTCCTTAAAAGAGGCAGCCAAGATTTTATCATATACAAATGTGTGTAAATTCTAAATCATAGTTCAGTCTTACTGCGTTTAGCACTCAAACACTGATTGATGGCCAAACCATAACTAGTAGGATATCCCAAGCACTAATCTTGACAATCTTGGGAAAATTAATTAGTTATCCAGTATCTTATTGTGCATTCTTTTTGTTCGTTCTCTGACTCATTGTATATGCATGGAATTCTTCCAGCCAATGCTGTATATGGAAATAAATGCATAGCGCTATCTGCTCTTTTCCCACAGTCAAACATTTTGTAAGGCGGCATACTTTTTATTAAGGACTTTTTGACTATAAGTGAAAAAAACAGCTGGAGCTCTTAGCACGTAATTCTTTTTTTTTCTTTGAAAAAGCACAAAATCAAGGCTCTCATTGTTCAGTAAAGTTGAAGAGACCCCATTAATCAATCCTTCCCTTTAAAGCTGTAGGAAAATGACACATGTCTTTTCCTTTCCACTTTTAGGATTGCTGTCCAATTTAACAGGGTGCATATCAAAAGTCAAATGCATATAAGAAAAGTTTACATTGTCTGCTGATCTTAGGAGTGGACCATTAATAGTCCAAAGTCATATGTACCTTTGTAAACACCTAAAAAAATTTTTTTTTGCTAGATGAATTGTTCCGCACACATTTTAATCTTTAACTGATCTACAATGTATGCTTGTTCATTGTTTCTCCCAGATTACATGGAAACCAAAAGCAGTCATATTCCCCCAAAATCCAGAAATTATATTAGGCTGCACCTTCATTATTGTAGACCAATTAATAGTTTATAAAATAGTATGCAAACTTCTGTATTTCTAATAATCCTTTATGAAAAAAGGCTGAAAAATCCAGGTGCACTGCATATGCCAAATTGTGCTGATTGCCACTTCTCACAGCCTTTTGGTCAAATTTTGGCATTTAGTTTTACCATATTTTTCTTTTGTAGAGGAACAATACCAGTATTCTTTTAATTCTCAGACACGGATATAATCTTAAGCCTTAAGATTAAACAACTTCCACAGCTTCTTCATAAACAACTGTTACATTTCTCTACTTATACTTTTTATAACAGCAGCCTTACAATTTTCCAACATTCTTACAACCTTTGAGTCTTTTCTATCATCTTTGCACACAGATTCAGTTTGCTCTATATTCTAATCTTCTTCTTTACAGTTATTTATCCAATTCAGTTTGCTATATATTCTAATCTTCTTCTTTACAGTTATTTATCTAATTCCAAAATAAGTTTTATTTCCACCCAAATCATTCTATATTCATTCTCTGTCTCTCTGAGCCCCTTCTCCACCGCCCGTCCCCTCTTCAATTACACCGTTTGCAGCTATTTTACCTTCTGGGCACATAGTGTGTGCCCAGAATATTATAGAACAGTATATTACATCAGGGGTCCCCAACTACTGGGCCCCGGACTGGTACTGGTCCGTGGATAATTTTGTACCGGGCCGCCTACTTTGCTTGGGCGCCGCCATCTTGTTTCGATGGGGCTTGAGAAAGTGCTTCCGGGTGAGCTTGTCAGTGGTTGGTTGGATGGAAAGCGGCATTTGGGTGCTGAAGGAATCCTCGCGCCTTAGTTTCGTCGAAGGGGGGGGGCAGCTTTGAACGAAGAGCCGTCCCGATGGCGGTGGAGTCTCGCGTTACTCAGGAGGAGATTAAGAAAGAGCCCAAAAAGCCCATTGACGGCGAGAAGGTACAAAGGAGGAGTTGAAGGTGGTGGGGAGAAGTGGGGGATGGCTGGCTGACAGGTCGCTCAGCTCGCCTTGCCTTGGTCATGCGTGCTGATGCCTGTACCGGTCCATGGATCATTTTGTGATGCCGGTACCAGGCCATGGTACAAAAAAGGTTGGGGGCCACTGTATTACATCTTTATTCTGCTCTCAGAATCAAGATCAGTTCTCTTCTCAACAATTTACATGCTAGAATTTTTGTATCATCTTCTTACATGCATATTTCTCATCCACATGTTCCTTTACTTCTTCATTTGATCAGCCCGGGTTTTTTACGCAGTCAACCCATAACATAATTATTTTTACTCTTTCCAAAGTAACTTTCACATCCACTCTAGTATACCTAATTTCTATTTATTATGCTCACTATCATTTCATTTTGATTCATATTTTCCTACATGATTCACATTTTCTTTTCTTGCAATCATTCTACTTCCAATTACATTTTTCCTTCTTTGTTTATTTTCCCCTAGATATATTTGTGACATTACAAAGAAATTTTCTGTTCTGAATTCAGAATCACTATTCACTATTCTTCATTCATATTGTCAAACTTTTTTCATAAAGCAAGCTAATCCATCACACTTTGTTTACATTTGTATTCATTCTTTTTCAAAGTTTTAAAAAGTGTATTTGAAACAAACAAACCATTCCCATTCTTTCCAAATGGCCCAATCACTTTTTCTGAGTTATTTTGTTTCATTCCCGCCCATGTATTCGTCTAGCCACGGAACAACCAATGAGCATCCCAAACCCTTCTCTTTAATTCTATTCTAAATTTATTTACCTGCCTCTTATTCAGTGGTGGGATTCAGCCAGTTCGCACCAGTTCGGAAGAACTGGTTGTTAACTTTCTAAGCAGTTTGGTGAACTGGTTGTAGGAAGAAATCATTAGGGCAGAGAACCGATTGTTAAATTATTTGAATCCCACTGCTCTTATCCACTTGATTCACAAAAACTAATACCTTGAAGAATGTGTAAATCCATTTAATAGCAAAGGTAATCCTCACCTAGATGACAAGTTTGGGATGTTTCACTGCCTAGTTATTTGGCAGGGTTTATCCTAAGCCTTTATTACCTCCTTGTACAAACAGTTGACACCCAGCTATCTCCAGAGGTGATGTTCAGTCAGTTCTGACAGGTTCTGGAGAACCTGTAGTTTGGAGTAGTTTGGAGAATTGGTAAATATCACCTCTGGTTGGCCCCGCCCCCATCTATTCACTGCCTCCCGAGTCCCAGCTGGTCAGCTGGGTCTTCTTTGGTTGCCCTGCACAGGAGAACAGAGCTGGAAAGCAGGTTAGTGGGGTGGGGAAGGAATGGGGATTTTACAATATCCCTCCCCTACCATGCTCACCAAAGCCACGCCACACCCACCAAGCCACACCAAGCCACGCCCACAGAACTGGTAGTAAAAAAAAAATTGAATACCACCACTGGCCCCCAAGCTTTTCATAACTGAAATAAAGGGAAGATGAAATGGAAAAAATGGGAATGAACAGAGAAAGCGACAAATATGTAGGCTTATTAACTAATACATAGGATGAAGTTTGAGACAGGAAGACTGGGAAACATAGAAATAATTATTGATATGCTTTAAATGAGAAGGAGAAATATAGTGATGTTTCCTCTTCCCCAAATTATTTGGGCATTAGATTATCAACTTTCCCAAGCACTTAGGTTGGTATTCATGGAATTGCCAAGCTGGAAGTTGTCATTTAAGGTGGCCATCAAGGCCAGCCTCCTACACAATACAGAAATCCAAATTAAAGCATCTCACACATATGGCTGTCTGTCTTGCCGTCAGAGCTTTTGAAATTTCACCCCCCTCAAAAAAAAAGTAAGCTTTACTCTCCACTTCCAATTATAAGTGTGACAGCTTGGATTTACCCATAGTGTTAAATTGTTATTAATATTTAAAATTGTTATTCCCAATGAAAATATGGTGATGAATTTGTTTACTTTCACTTTTAGATGATATCCGAGGTTAATTATAACTTCACAAAAAGTCTGTTTTGTAATGGAGCCTGCAAATTGTGCAGTACTGAGATCGGTGCTTTTTATTTATTCCTAAATGACACAGACGTAGGAATGGAGCAGTAAAGTAGCTTCTCGTGCATACTTAAAATAAAAGGGATGGCAAGTAAATTCTACGTAAGGAATTCTGTAAGTCAAGAAATGGGCACAACAGGAGAAAATGCAACAGAATGCTAAAAAGTGTGTATCACTTTACACAGTTTTTTTTTTAAAGTAAACCTAATTTCACATATATGATGGGTCATGGCTTGAAATCACTAAATAGAAAAGGGCTATTGAACCAGCTAAATCTGTCATGATTTGCTTAGATCATTTATATTTTCATATATTTTTTCTTTTCAAATCCATGAAATACCTTTTCACTGAAGTGGAATTGGGGTGACTGAATGGAGCTGAGCATTTACTAGCCGGATGCTCTTCCTGATTCCTATTGCGGAGTTCGCAGCAGATATTTTCTCTTTGCACCCTGTTAGAGAAACATCTGTCACTGCCTAGGATTGAACTCTCAACCTTCTAAGTGGAAGGTGAATGTTTTCACCTCTAGGCCACTGCACGGTTCTATGTGTATTTCATAATAAGGAGCAGAAATTAATTTAACAAGCCAGCTCCTTAGGCAAGCATTTCAATTGTCTTCAAGCAATCTTACTATGGAATAAAAGGAGCTGCAAAAAGTATAGTGGTAGTGCTCTAATTATTGTACAGTTTAGAGTACAAGGATATTATCTATAGATGCTAACAAACACTATGCCTTTGGCATGTATCTTAGATGTTGATCTATTTGCACCTTTCTGTCTCATTCATCATCTTGGACAGAAAACACGGCTGTTAGAAAGACGTTTCCCTAGATGTCTCTATAAGATTGAAAAGGCTCACTGGGGACGAAAACCAGTATATTCTATGGTGTTTATTACTTTCCTCTGAATCAACAGAACCCGGAATGGCCATTTCCTCTTCAACT